GTATCAGGATAGTGCTGGCCTCGTAGAATGGGTTAGGAAATAGCTCCTCTGCTTCTATCCTCTGAACAAGATTGTAGAGAATTGGTGTAATTTCTTCCTAAACGGTTTGGGAGACTTCATTAGTGAACCCATCTGGGCCTGGTTCCTTCTGTTTTGGAAGGTTATTAATTATTGATTTAATTTCTTTAACAGATAAAAGCCCTCTTCAGCTTGTCTATTTCTTCTTGTGTGAGTTTTGGCAGATTGTGTTTTTCAAGAAATTGGTCCATTTCACCTAGGGTATCAAATTTGCGGCCATGGAGTGATTCACAGTGTTCCTTTATTATCCTTTTAATTTCCATGGATCTGTAGTGAGGTTCCCTCTTTCATTTCTGATATTAATCATTTGTTTCCTTTCGCTTTTTTTCCTTCATTAGCCTGTCTAGAGGCTTATCAATTTTATTGATCTTTTCAAAGAATGAGCTTTTGGTTTCTTTGATTTTCTCTATTGATTTTCTTTTTCAATTTCATTGATTTCTGTTCTAATTTTAATTCACTTCTTTTTATCTGCTTACTCTGAGTTTAATTTGCTCTTCTTTTTCTAGTTTCCTGAGGTGTAAACTTGATTATTGATTGTAGATCTTTCTTTTTTTTCTAATATATGCATTCAATGCTATGAATTTCTCTCTACGCAATAGTTTCACTGTATCCCACAAATTTTGATAAGTCGTATTTTCACTTTCATTTAATTCAAAACATTGTTTAATTTCTCTTGAGATTTATTCTTTGACTACTATGTTAATTAAATTGTGCTGTTTAATCTCCAAGTATTTGAGGATTTTCCAGCTATCTGTCTGTTATTGATTTCCAGCTTAATTTCATTGTGGTCTGAGAGCAGACATGGTATGATTTCTATTCTTGTAAGCATATTAGGGTGCGATTATGGCCCAGAATGTTGTTTATCTTGGTGAATGTTCCGCATGGGCTTGAAAAAATGTGTATTGTACTGTTGCTGGATGAAGTAGTCCATAGATATGCATAATATCTGGTTGGTGATAGTGTAGTTGAATTCAGTTATGTTCTTACTGAATTTATGCCTTCTGCACATGTCCATTTTGATAGAGGAGTGTTGACATCTCCAACTGCAGTAGTGGATTTGTCTACTTCTTGCTATTCTATCAGTTTTTGCTTCATGTAGTTTGACCCTCTGTTGTGAAATGCAAGCACATTAAGGATTGTTATATCTTCCTGGAGAATTGATTCCTTTACATTATGTAATTCTTTTCTATATCCCTGATACCTTTCCTTGGTCTGAAGTTAATTAGCTATTCCTGCTTTCTTTTGATTAGTGTTAGCATAGTATATCATTCTCCATCACTTTATTTTTCATCTAACTATGTCTTTATATTTAAAGTGGGTTTCTTTTGTAAGCAACAGATATCAATGAATTTTAAAATAGGGAAAGAAAAGAGAAAATCAATGAAACAAAAACCTGTGCTTAGAAAAATAAACATAATTTATAAACCTCTAGAAAGACTGACAGAGGCAAACACAGAAAGGACACAAATCATCAATTTCAGGAATGAAATAGGGAATATTATTACATATCCCACAGCCATTATAAGTAATCTTAAGGTAAGGTAATAATATGAACAACTTCATAAATTCACAATTAGAAGAAATTAACCAGCTATGTGAAGACCACAAACTATCAAAACTCAACCAAGATGAAATAGACAATCTCAATAGTCCTATCACCATTCAAGACATTGAATTTATAATTAAAAATCTCCCCCAAAAGACATCCCCAGGAATAGATGATCTCACTTGAGAATTCTACCAAATATTTAAAGAGTTAACACAAATTTTTCACAATCTCTTGCAGAAAATAGAAGAGAAGGGAGCACTTCCCAACTCATCTTATGAGGCCAGTATTACCCTGATGCCAAAACCACACAAAAACAGTACAAAAAAAAGAAAACTATAGACCAATATCTTCCATGAGTTTAGATGCAAAAATCCTCAACAAAGTATTAGAAAATCAAATCCAGCAATGTATAAAAATAAGTGTAAACTTTGACCATGTGGGATATAGTCCAAGTATGAAAGGCTGGTTCAATATTCAAAAATCAGTCAATGTAATCTATCATATCACAAGGCTAAAGAATAAAATCATATGATCATGTAAATTGATGGAGTAAAAACATATGATAAAATACAACGCCTATTCATAATAAAAAAAGACTCAGCAGTCTAGAATAGAGGGAAACTTTCTCAATGTAATAAGAGCATCTACCAAAACAACAACAAACACTACATCTAATATTGTATTTGACGGTGAAAGACTAAATGCTTTCCCTTTAAGAGGGGAACAAGGCAAGGATATGTGATCTCACCTTATTCAACATAGTATTGGAAGCTCAAGCCGGTGCAATAAGGCAAGAAAAAATAAAGACATACAGATTGGAAAGGAAGGAATAAAACTGCCCCTATTTGTAGATGAAATGATTGTCTACGTAGAAAACCCCAAGGAATCTAAGAAAACAAAACAAAACAAAACAACAATAACAAAAACTTCTAGAGACTTCCAATTTCTAGTCTGGCGTGTAACAAGCTGGAAGTTGCTACTCCATTCTCACTGACACGGGATATGGAAAGTGGTGTGGCAAACAACCCTGCCTCACAGCATCACCTTATTCTGCTTTGCTGATACCAGGTGGGGATGAAGGCTCAGCTCTTCATTGAGTCCCACACGTACCAGGGTAGGTGTCTGGAATGGGGCAGTACTGCCAAAAAGTTTTCTACTCTGTTAGATAGCCCTTTCCCTGGTTATTTGCCCGGGGTTTTCTGGAGCTAATTTTTTGTCTGTGCCTGTTGGTTGTTCCAGGTTGGAGGTGTCTACAGCACTGGGTCTGGGGTACATGGGGCATAATAAGGGAATTCAGGGAACTCACCGCCATGTTATTCCTGAAGTGCTGCAGACACTTCTCTGTGAGATGCTGACACTTACGGGAAAAAAGAGGAAGGAGGAAGAGCATTTAGGAGTCTACTGCAATAATTTAAGATAGACAAGGGTGGTGACTGGGGCGGGGGACCAGGGACGTAGCCGTGGAGGTAATGAGAAGTGGTCAAGTTCCAGAAATGTTTTGAAAAAGAGCCAGCAGGTTTGCTGATAGATGTGACATGAGATGTGAGAAGAACAGAAGGTCCAGCATGACTCCAGATTTCTGGTAAAATCTGGCCTGAGCAACTGGAAGGATGGAGTTGCTTTAACTGAGATGAAGGAGATGGCCGGAGCAGCAAGTTGGGAAGCGAGGCAGGTGGAGAATAGGATTTCAGTTGGGATGTGTGCGGGATGTTGGATACCTGTTGGACACCCAGGTGGAGATGTTGAGTAGGCAGTTGTATGTACAAGCCTGGTGTTCAGGGAGAGGTCCAGGCTGAGATGTAAATTTGGGATCCATCAGCATATGAATGGCACGTAATAAACGCCATAGGTAGAAGTCTGGTGAGGTCCCCAAGGGAGTGAAGGAGAATAAGCAGAAGAGGACCAAGGATGGACCCCAGAGACAGCACAAGTTTCCAGATCCAGGAGCCAAGGAGGAATCAGCAAAGGAGACCAATAGGGAGAGCCAGGAAGGCAGGAGGAAACCCAGAAGAGGGTGGGAGCAGAGGGGAGGGAGGGTTTCCAGGAGGACCAAGTGATGGGCCAAGTAAGGCAACAACTGAAAACTGATCACTGGATGTGACAACCTAGAGGTCACTGGTTACTTTCACAAGAGCAGCTTTGGCTGGAGGTGTGGGGATGAAATCCTAATACGAGTGACTAAGAGAAAATTGGAGAAGAGAAGTAGGAGATGGTGAGTGGAGACAATGCTTTCAAAGGGTTTGACGGTAAAGACAAAGCAAAGCGATGTGTTTGTATCAGGAGAGGGTTTTTTACTGTATGTTTTATTCTTTGTGGTTATAGCAATAAATACCGGCACATTTGCACACTGATGGGAGTGATCCGGTGGAGAGAGGAACTTCGATAAAGCAGGAGAGACGGGAGGGTTGCTGGGCTGATGCTCTTGAGCAGACAAGAAAGGATGAGATCTACGGCACCAATGGCCTTGGAAAGGGACATATGAATCTCAAACCTATGATGAATTTTCCCAAGTGTCTCCCAGCAAAGGCGCACATCCTTCCAGATATTTATCTGTGCACAAACCAAGATGGATAGAATATTTTTGCATCATGCTGTTCAGTTCATATTTTTTAGCAACTTGTTTTCTTTATTAAAAAATATGTTGTAGAGATTCTCCCATGTAAGTGCATGGAAACTAAACTCAATCTTTTTAATGACTGCTTAGAATTCAGCAGTATGGATGCACTATTATTTATTTAACCAATCTCCTATTGATGGACATTTAGGTTGTCTCTAATGTTTTATTTGCTGTTATAAATAATGCTATAAAGAACCTCCTTCCATAAATGCATGCCTTGAGCTTTTCAGAATCACGAACTTCTAGAAATAAAATTGCTGGGTCAAAAGGTAGCTGTATTTTGAATTGTGATAGATGTTGCTCAAGTGTCCTCCACAAAAACTACTTCAAAAAACGTTCCACTAGTGGCGTAGAAATATGACAAGTTCAACAGATTTGTTTAAAGTCGGGTACGACTTCAAAGTGTGTCAGAGCCATAACTGATAACTGCTGCCCCTCATCTCCAGGCTGCAGGTCTGCGCTCACCAGGGCTCGTCTGGGGAGCTGGAGAAGCAGAGAAGTGGGACAGACAGAAGAGAGAGCAGACAACAGGGGCAGGAGTGCAGATCCGGGGAGCTGTGGGCGCTCTGGGGCAGGGAGCCGGGGCTCCAGCCTGGCGCAGCGGACGACCCCTGCGGGGCGCTGGGCAAGCGGCCCAGCCTCTCACTGCCCGGTCACAACGAAAGTGCCTGCTGTGCGGATCCAAGGAGGTCGCAAACATCAAAATGACACTGTAAACGTTGGGGCAGAAATAGCAGGGGGCCCACCATAACTTACCTTCCTTTTCTCTTTTGTTAACACGGCCTCTACTTTGTCAAGGACAACAATGCTTCTACTTAAAAACATCACAGCCCTCTGTCTGCAGTCAGGTGAAGCCGCTCTGGCCAATGAGATGGAAACATGACATTTCCCGCCCCTCTGCAGGCAGTCATGTGACACTGCTCTGGCCAATGAGTTGAACAACAGCGCATGCCCGCCCCCTTGGCAGTTGGTCATGTGACACAGTTCCCACCAATGAAACGAGAGCTGCGGTTCTGTGCGGCATTCTGGGAAAGCTCCCGGAAGGGCGGGTGGCTGGCCTCGCGTGGGCCACCCGCTGTCCATCGTGAAAGGGGACGCGAGGCCAGGAAGCTGCGCTGTGAGCACAGGGCACGCCTCACCGAGGGCGCCGAGAGAGGTGGAGGAGGAGGCCGGGCCCGCGGGCGTCTTGGAGCTGCTGGGCCTGCACCGGCCCGCCGGACACCTCGGTGGGTGAGAAGAATAAACCCGACGCCCTTCCTGGATTTTCCACGATGCCGGGTGAGAACTTTCTGCAGGCAGGTGACCTCTGTAGGTCTCTCTTTGTCCATATGTTAAAAGTAAGGGAATTGGACCTTTTTTTTTAAATTTTAGAAGAGCTTATATTCACAGAAAAGTAGCAAAAAGATTACAGGGGGCGTCCTTGTGCCTGTCACCCTTTTTCCCTGGTGTAAGCATATTAGGGAACTAGTGTTGGTTTGTTGAAACTACGAAACAATATGCACGCGTTACTATCAACTAAAGTCTCCACTTCTTGGGTTTTCACTAGTTTTTCCCCGCATATCCTTTTTCTGATGCGGAATCCCTTCCAGAATGCCACAGTACGTTTATTCATCCTATCTCCTTAGCCCCCTCTGGTCCGTGACAGTTTCTCAGTCTTGCCCCCATGACCTTGACAGTCGTGAAGAGCACCCGTCACCTATTTGGTAGGACGCTCCTCAATTTGAGTCTGCCTGATGTTTTCTTCATGATTAGACTCCAGTGATGGGTTTGGGGGAAGCAGAGCACAGAGGTAATGCACCTCTTGTCACATCCTCCCATGGGGCACATGCTACCCATGTGACTTTTCACTGATGTTAACCTCCACCCCCTGGTGAAGGTGATGTCGGCCAGGTTTCTCCACCGGGAAACTCACTCCCGCCGTCTCCACCCCTGCCCTGCTCACACTCTATTCTGCAAGCAGGTCTCTAAGAGGGGCCCACACTCAAGGGTTAGGGAGTTAAGCTCCACCTCCTGGAGAGGGGAGTATAAATTATTTGAAATTCTTCTGTAGGGAAGATTTGTCTCTTTCCCCCTGTTTATTTATTCAGTTATTTATGTTTACCACTATGGGCTTGTGGATGTTTTATGGTTTGGGTTATAGTCCAGCACTGCCTTATTTATTTTGTTACTTGAATTATTTCATCTTCGGGAGCTCTTTCAAGCTCTTACGAGGCTTTGCCATGCCCCATTGTTCTGTTTTTTGAGCACTTACTTTCTGGCACTACGACATACTCCAGGTTTATCTTATATATTCCCTTCCTTAGGCCTGGAATCAGCCCCTTCTCAAAGGATCTGTGGTTCCCTTTATTGGAGAATAGTATTAGAACCCAAGATCCAGGCACTACACCAAGGGATTTGAAGGTACCTCCAGCTCTAAAACGATGGGATTCTAGACTTAGGGTAAAAGTAGATCCAGAGTCATTAGATTATTGGGAGAATTAAATGGGGTCCACCATGCTCCATAAATATTAGTGTTTTTTCCTCTTCCCTTTGGTTTCTGAGTATGTTTGTTCTTCTAGCCCCCAACCCCAACTCAGAGGAAGAGATCTGTGGGGTTTTGCTGCCCAGTACCTTGTGCCTGTCTCCTAGTAAAGTAATAGCCAGTGTTTCCTGGTGGAGCCCCCACGCCTCCTCTCAGCCCACATGGTTGGGGCAGGGTTAACCCCACCCTCAGCTGGAGGAATGGGCACTGATTGACTTAAGCCAGTCAGCACAGTCCGTCCCTTTGGCCTTTGTGATTGGTGCAGGAATGGACCTGTGACCCTTGGGGCCAGTGGGAGTTGGGTGTCCCAGAACTGGTCCAGAGAGATTCTCTGAGCGGAAGATTCCTTGTTACAAGCTGCAGAGCACCTGATTCTCTGCCGCAGGGCTTCTCAGAGCCTTTAATGCGACCGGTAACTGAGGAGATGAAGCTCTGAGTCTGCCTGGCTGCTGGCCCCGCTCCACCCTTCAGCAAGTTAACCACTGTGGGCCTCAGTTTCCTCCTCTGTAAAATGGGTTAATAATAGAGCCTACACCACAGGAATGTTGTGAGGATGAAATGAGTTCATTCACGAATGATCAGTCCACGACACAGAGGAGGCACCTGGGAAAACTTCTCCTGTTCCCACGTTTATCTCCATCCTTGAGGAGCTCCTGAAACCAAATCCCCACCTCAGACCCTTGCCTGGTACTGGAGTCCCCATGACAGCTTTTCTCCTTCGGGGCCCACTCCTCCCCTCACGCCCCCGTCTCAGCTTCCACAGAAGCAGACCCTGCAACAAGGATTTGAGCGTGAGTGGCTTATTTGGGAGGTAGTCCGGGTCAGCATCAGGAGGGCTGGGGAGGTGAGACAGGAAAGGGAAGGAAGCTGATAAAAGGTGCATGTGGAACAGGCGACTAGGTCCCAGAAGGGCAATCCAGAAGGTGATGCAGGACAGCCCCAGAGCTGCCCCACTTGGGGGCAAGGAAGCCGGAGGATCCCCCTCCAGCCCCAACCTTCACTGGCTGAGGGCTGGTCCTGGGCATCACGTGCCCGTGTTCCCAGGCCCCATGATGGATGGAGGTGCTTCTGTCTGCCAGGCACGCCTGCTGCTGCCCGTTGCTGGGAGGCCAGGCCTGGCCTGTCCAGGCAGCCCTCCTTTGTACCAGATTCTCTGAAAGTTGGGTTCTTCCATCACTGTCACTCTGCTGCCTACCTTGGTGGGATAGCCTTGTCCAGATCCTCTCTGCACCACATCTGGTCACCTGGATGTGGACCCACCGTCCTGCTGCCGGTAGTATCTGGAGCTGCCTCAGATGATCAGTGATGGGGCAGGTGAGGGCTGGAAGCCAGGGCCCCCATCGCCACCCCTACCTGGCTTGTCGTCTGGGCACCCAACTCAAGTGATCTGAGCACCTACTGTGTGCCAGGTACCGTGCTAAGAGCTTCCGCAGCCCCTCCCCGTGACCCTCTCAACTGGCTGTGAAGGAGGCTCATCAGCTCTGCCTTCCAGACAGGGAAACTGAGGATCCGGGAGGTTAAGTCAGTGCCCCAAGATCGCCCACCTGACCCTGAGGAGCCCTGAAGGGGACTCACATCCCCTCCCCCCCGCCTCATCTGCAGAGATGTTTCCAGGACCCTGCAGGGACAGCCTGCCCTGCAGCCCCTCCCAAGTCCGTCCTGGCCGCTGTTTACCTGGAATAAGCCTGGAGCTCCCTCCGAGTAAATGTCAGAGACGGGTCCCCAGAGTCCAAGGCTGGTGCCCAGTGGCAGACTCCTTGTGAAATCCGGCCTCGCTCCCTGAGTGGGACTGACTTACCTGACGATAATTAGTTCGTTTTGTCTGAAGTGCGTCTGATTCCCCTTGAGGCTTTGCAGCAATTACAAGGTGGCATGTTATTAAAAATGATTTATGAAGGCTCACAGCTTTGAATAAAGATCTCAGTGGCAAGATTGCCGAGCCCAAGCTAAAGAACTTCCCGGGCTCACAGGTTGGACCTGAACCCAGAACTCGAGACTGACTCTAGCCCCCTGCCCCTGACCACTGCACTCACTGCCCTTGCTCTCCTAGGTGTCCATTTGTGCAGCTTCTGTCAATCCCACCCTATGTGGGAGGGGCTGATCAAATCACTGTCCCCTATCTACAGATGTGGAAACTGAGGCCCAGAGAGGGGAGCCAACTTGTCCAAAGTTGCACAGCAAGGAACTAGGAGATCCCTGTGTGCCTGATTCTTCCTCTAGGTCTCCCTTCTCCGCTCCTCTCTTCCAGCCCTCCTCAGGGAAAGCACAGAGATGAGACTGGAGTCCAGGTGAGCAGCAGAGTAGCTGAGTTCTCCCCCTCCTGGGAGCCCAGAGCCGTTCGTTCCTTCCTGTGCCTGCTCTAATTATTGCCTTCCAGGAGAGACTGGACCCAGGAGGTAAACACATGAGACCTGCCTCTGATCGCTGACGGGCTCAGGCCTCCCTGGGATGCTGATGGGCCCCACTGCGGCCCCTGCAGTGACACGCCATGAACCTCTGTCGGGCTGAACAGCGCCCAAACCTGGCGCCTCCCGGTCCCAGCAGAGCTGGGCCCGGTGGTCCCTCCCAACCGTCAGTTCGTGGGCTCAGAGACACGCTCTGCTGTGTGACCACACTGCCCCTCACTGGAGGTGGGGCTGAAGTCACCAACCTCTGAATCCCACCTTCCTCGCCCGTCAAAGGGCAGTGATGCTTCACTTCCGTGGCACTCAGCTTCCCTCAAAGAGCTGGAGAACGAAGTTCCATTATTTTGAGCTCAGTGAGGACACAGCCCTTTTGCTGCTGTCTCCCCTGCACCCCACAAGTCATAAAAGGACATGAAATGTTTGTGTGAACCGGTCCACTGCCTTTGTGCTCCTGTGCCCTCCCCTCACTGGGTTCCCGTGGGAACCCAGCAAGACCACCCCGCTCTGCTCCTTAGTCACCCCCCAGACTGGGGGTGACCCGAGGATGGGGAGAACGGTGCGAGTTCCTTCTGGGAAATCAGGGGGAGCTGGGTCACCTCAAAGTCCCCCCAGCTCCCAGAAGCCACAATTCTCCTCTTTCTTCCAGCCAGGGCCCTTTCCCTTCACAGAGGCCTTGGAGACAGCTGGGGGAGGTGGCACCTTGTTACAAGCCCGAGGACACATGACCAACAAGGGCAGGGCAGGTGCCCGAACCAAGGCCTCCTGACTCCCAGTCCAGGGCTTGGTGGTCCTCCAGGCCCGGGGAAAGCCAGCCATGAGGGTTTCCTGCCCTCCAGCAGCCTGGGAAGGTGAGGGGGTGCACCTGTGCCTGAGGGCCTGAGCTCCCCCACCTCCCGTCCTCACGTGGAGACGTGAACTGGGAATGCTGGGCAGCCAGAATCCACTGTGCAGATGAGGAAGCTCGGTCTCAGAGAGGCCAAGTTGTTTTCCCAGGATCCTGCAGGTAGGGAGTGGCGGAGCTGGGATCCGAACCCATGTCTCGGTGGCCGCAGAGACCAAGCTGTTGACGATGGAGCCGGGATCCTGGCCGTGGCCTCCTCTCCTGGATCCAGGGACCACTGGCAGGGCCCAGCCTGCTCTCTAACCTGGGCTGGGGGAGTGACTCTCCATCCTTCCCCAAAGTCTCTGCCTTTTCTCGTGGAGTCTGACCCCAGGCCTCCACAGCTGAGCAAACTCCGTCCCTGTGGTTCGGGACAGCCTCCCGAGGCTAAGGCTGACTCTGGCCCGGGATGTGTCTGTGTTCCACTAGGGCCCGCTGGGATCTGGCGCTGGGATTCTGGCCATGCTTGCTA